AAATTTATCAAATTATACACTTTTTAAATATGTTCTATACATTGTATGTCAATTATACTTAAATAAAGCTATCTTTAAAAAGCCCTGCAGGGCCGGGCACCGTGGTTCAAGTACTTTGGGAGGCTGAGGTGAGAGGACTGCCTGAGTCCAGGGTGTCAAGACCAACCTGGGCAATTTGGTGAAACCTCGTCTCTACAATAAATCAAAAAATTAGCTGGATGTGGTGGTGGGTGCCTGTAGTTCCAGCTACTTGGAAGGCTGAGGCGGAAGGATCACCCGGCAGGTCAAGGCTCTGGTGGCTACGAGTAGACCACTGCACTCCAACCTGGACAACAGAGTGAGACGCCAACTAAAAAAAAAAAAAAAAGCCCTGGAACTCAGATGTCAGAATTTGAGGGTAGTAAGAAAGAAGCAGAATGTAAATCTCAGCTAAAGGCTTCAGTGAGGCTTATCCAAGTATGCAAGAAATCCATGCTTCATCCCACCCAAATGAGCCTCAGCAGAGCTTCATGAGCCATCTCAATGCTATTTTCCATAAATGGTATCAACCACCATCTTATGTCTGTTTTCTGGAATAGAATGACCTAATCAGTACAAAATGAACTCCCATGTCTTGTGAGAGACTGTCAGTTAAACACATAATCCACATTTACAAACTTTTTTTTAAGTTTTAAAACAGAGTTTATTAGCAAGAAGAAGAGAAAGAAAAAGGAAGATTCATGGTAGAAAGACCTGCCGCGGACAAGATTCTCAAAAAGAAAAACTGCTACAAACATTTTAAAAAGGAGTTTTCTACTCGTAGAATAGGTTTAATAATTGAAAGTGAAATGTTTGTATGTCAATTTCAACACACAAGTTTGTTGAATCTCTCAGACCCTCAATGTCCTCATCCATAAAATGCAATAAGAAATAAGAAAAACCAGGAAAGTAAAAAGAGCAGGCTTTACCAGAGCTGTTAATTATTCCCTTTTTTGTGCAAAACCACCTTTCTTCCTCTCTGCTCTGAGAGACCTCCATTACTTCCCATCTCCATCAGCAGTAGTTCTCTGGAGTACGTCAAGCTTCTCTATCAGCCTCCATCCCTCTATCGCTAGACTCCTTGAGGGAGGTCCAGGAGGAAGGTCCCTGCCATACTCTTGGCTGACCACTTATTTGTCAAGAAGGCATCCAAGCTTGCTCAGGCTCAGCCAGGGACTGAGAACCACACTGCTCTATTGGGCTAGCCTTGAGCTCTCCCATCAGCTGTCACGTATCCCGGAGGTGTGGCCTCACTTTCTAAACACTCAATATTTGTTGAATGACCGAATGGGGAAAATCTCAACCACATCTCCATTTCTAATTGCGACGGAGGTGGTTTTCCAGGGTGGTCCGTCTTCTCCAGATCCAGAGCTGTGGGGCTTTGGCTGTAAGGGAGGATACAGAACCAAGGCCTAACCCACAGAAACGGGGGTGGGGGGGGGTGTTTGAGCTCGCCACTAGCATTAAGCAGCTCTGACTTCAATTTCCAGCTCTATATTTGCCGTGTGGGACCTTATGATCTTCAAAACTCAATTTTTCCAACTCTACGATGGGGCCAAAGCCACTCAATTTTTTTGTAAATGGTGTTAATTTCCATTACAGCATATTGGCCAATTATTACCTTGAACACTAAAGCTGGCATGTAACTCACTAATTCAACTATTACCCGAAATATATACTTAAGTCAAAAGCGCAAATACGCATAGTTCACTGAGAAAACAAAGGTTTCTCTCCTACTGAGATAAGAATTTAAGACAAGACCTAGAAGCAAACGACTACCAAGTCCTAAAACGAGACCGAATCCCCAAAGGTCAATCAGGTTCGCTAATAAAGCTCCGCCTCCGGGCAAACCCTGCCCACTTCCGGCTGCCCCACCCACCCTCCCACACTGGAACCCCGCCCCTTCCCGCGAGGTCCCGCCCCCCACATCCGATCCTGGTGCCCATTGGACCAATCTGGAAGCTGTATACACACCCGACACACGCACGGTCGTCCGGGGCGTCTTTGCGCCTGCGCAGCAGCGCCGTTAGCAGGCTGGAACCGGGTAGCCAGGGGGAGGGGGGCCGGGGTCCGGCCGAATCTTCCTCGGTAATAAGAAGTGACGCGTCCCGCGGTCCTGGCTCCGAGGGTCGGGTCGAATTGGGCCTGGGCGCTGGAGCTGCTGTGGCTCCCGCCGCGGC